ATATAATTAAACTAATCAATATTTTTGTTTGATAATACTTTTGAAAAGTTCGTAATTTTTCAAATTTGTTAAATAATTTAAAATTTCAGTCACATTGGCTTTATTCACTCATTTACATTAGATTTCTTTTTATGAAGCTTAATCGATCAAAACTGTCTTTATGCTGTCTAGAGATTGTGACTTCCATAAAATGCTGATTAATACTCTAAGAAACCGGATAAACAGCCGGATGATAAGGAAAAACTATTAAATCATTTTTTTGTGTTGGTACTGTTTTGAGCCACTATTTCTCCTGTCATTTCCAAAATTCCCACTTTAGTAGTTATACCGCAAATAAGTGCGGAATATATTTGCACATAGATTTATTATGGACAGAAAAATTGAGGAGATAAAGCTTTCCTTGGTATTGAGGTTAATTGTCGTGAAGAGTAAAGTATATAAACTGTTCACCTTTCCTATTTGCTATATAAACTGTTCACCTTTCCTATTTGCGTTGAGGATTTTTTTCTTCGTAAAATAATATTAGTTAGAGAATTTCTTTTTTGGCACTTCTACAAAAACTTCGATATTCAGGCAACATGTTTGTGTACGAGAGAAGAAAGTACCATTATTATGGGATGCTTCCGGATCAGCGTGTATATCGTATAAACGGGCGATGCGATGTGTTACGGGTGATAGCAATGAAACATTGGTACGAATCGTTGAGTGTTGTGATGGATATCATACATCGGATATCAAGAAAGGATGCACTCCATGTATGTTTTAGATTTCTAATCTTCCGATTCGGATTTCAAGACCATCGGGAATTGATCTCTCCAATTTACAACATTTATCACATGCATTTCATTGAACGAAACTAAGATATCTACTAGTTATAGCACTCTATAATAATCTCAAAATAATTTTTCAGACGATGCTCCAGAAGCTTTGGATAAGTTGTTGAATGGAAAGAATGTGTGTATGGAGGCATTGGAATTAAAGAATATCAAATTTACAACCTTACTGATACCGAATAATGAATCTTGCTTCACAGTATAAATTTGTATATCAGAAATTCTATCCTCTTAACTTTTCCTCCTTCTCCTTGAATCTAATTTTAGTATTGAGAAAAATTTAAAAATCTTTTCGTTTTCCTTTACCATTCATTCTTTATCCAGAAATTTTTAAAAAACCAATGTATAAGAAAAAAATGTTTTCCATTACTTTTTTTAGATATTTTAACCTTCCATTTCAATTTTTAAGCATTTGCTTTAGTGAAACTTTAAGTGGTATAAATTTTTGGATAATTTTATCGTAAATAAGTGAGATAACTTTTGAAGTCCTTAGAATATTTGCCATTTTGTGCTTGAAGTATTGATTTTGTAGAACGATACTGACAACAGAAATTGGAACGAATACATTTTGGAACAACCATATCGTAGTTATGAAATGTTGAATTCTCAGAAATTGCCGACACGCAAACCAGGAGCTTTTGTTATTGTATCGAGAAATCCCGAACGAACAGATTTAGATGACAAAGTAAGCATCATTTAGTTGATGTTCGGAACAAATAAATAATTCTACCAAATTTTTACTAATCGTAATTTGTTGATTTGAATGACTAGGAAAGGATTACATTCATTGGATTCTTCCTACTCATTTATCTCTTTTAGTTTTATTCAGCTTAAAGTGAATTTGAATTTCATGCTAGAAATATTATTTCTATATAGTTTTTATGGAATTTATTCACAAATATGTCAGGAATCGAAAAATTCAAAGAGTCACAAAAAAAATTTATTATGGTATATCAGTTTTTTCTGAAGTATCCCAGTCAAATTTTCCAAATTTCAGCCTCTTTTAAACTGTATCAAAATAGTAGACGAAGATTTGGAGTGGAGAAATGGTACAGTACAACTGTTAAGTGCGCCATTACCTAAGGCGACAACTCAAACACTTCTTGAAATTATCAAAAGTGATCCGAATTTTTCTGCTTTTAATGCTCGTAAGTTTCTGAATTGCTTGCTAGAGCAATCAAATTTTATAGTTTTTTAAATTTTTAATTGAGAAAAGTAAAAACAAATAAAGCAAAATAAGATAAAATTAAAATAAAATCTAAAGAATAAATTTGAAGGAGACTTCTGATCCTTTTCAGTATTAACTGATGATCTTCAAGGACGTCTTGCATCAAACACTCTCATTTCTACTGTTTTCGTTTTTACAAACGAAACATTTGTATCATTTTCTCCATCACTTCAAACACGTATGCAACAGCGGAAAGGATGTGCAAGGGGTAAAATATTGTATTTCTTTAACATTTTGCGAATTTCTTGAACTAAATTTAGGGTTAATATTAAAATTTTTTTCTAGAGTTAATAAAAGAACATATATATGATGGTATGCTGTGCTCATCATTCATGGAAAATGATGTAACATCAATTACTGGTATTAAGCATCATTTTTATAAGCAGGTTTAAATTTATATTTTATTTGGATCATTTAAAATATAACTGTAAAATAAGTAAGAATATTGCAAACGTTCTTGAAAATAAGAATTTTAATTAAATTGCAGTAATCAAATGATGTAAAATTGAGAGATTATAATCGATATTTATAGCAAGATGAAAATAACACGGAATTAATTCATTTGGATAATGGTCGGATTTTGAATACTGATCGAGTAGCTTCAAATGGTGTCATTCATATCATCGATGACGTAATACTTCGAGAACAATGTAAATCCAAACTTGACTTTTTTCCGTTGTTAGTTTCGAAATAGTTCTATTGAAGATGTTAAGATTGCAACATTAATTTTGTGGAAATTATTGCTATATATTTAGCAACTGTTGCATTGATTGGATTGTGTCGAAAGTTCATTGGAATGACCAATAATTTAAAAATAATTTAATTCCTACATCTTTTCAAGTTATTTATAGCTGCAATCGATTGGCGTGATCACTTTGAATTTCCTGGTCGAGAATTCCTAGAAATTGTTGAACGTAATATTGGCCATGAAGATGAGCCAGTGGCTATATTTGTACCACCCGATGATTCTTTCCGAGTATGCTATCTTTTCACTGTTATTTTTGCTTCGTTATATTAAGCTCACTCCAATTCACTTCAGTTACTTAACTAACATTTCTTCCCTGTTTCTCATCATAAGCTCATGGTTCTTCATTTTAAACATATGAAAGGTTATTCCAGGACGTTTAAACCATGCCATTTAGAACCGATAATACTTTGTTTTCATTCAAATTTTCCATTTTTCAGAATTTGACAGATGAAAAGTCATTTGTTATGAATCATATTGTCATAAATAATTCACACATCACAAATAAAATGATTGAAACAGCATATGGTTCGAAGGTTGATTTTTTATTGATTGTCATGAATTAGTATCCTTTTAATTATCGTTGGAATAATATGCGGTGATTCAAATTTTTCACCAGTCTCAAAATAATTACTCAAAAGATTTCTCGACTTTATAGATGTCTTTTTTCGAATTTAGATCCCCTCATTGGTGATATCTTCAAGGCCGCTTTTCGGATGTGCAAAGACAATAAAGCCACCTATGAAGTACTGCAACACGACTATTTATTTTATTGATGCTGTATGTGCTTTTAAACTTTTGTACATTGATCATAATTACGCCTCACAAATATTTCAGCATTTTTGAGTTAGAATTAAAAAATTTCCAGAAAGTATGAACAATAAATAATGGTAAAATAATGAGCACATCCATTACCGACTAAATTGCTAGGTTCCAAAATTTGGTTTAATTTTGTGATTAGGTTCGAAATGCTTGATTTGACTCTCTCCAATCAATTAAGGAAATTGAATTCACTCTTTTTTCCATTTATTTCTCTTAGAATTTACGTTTACTTTTCACGGTATTTCTGTTAGAATTAAGAAATTTAGTTAAAATATATAAAATTTAGCCTTTACCAAGAACTATAAATACACTGGAAGAATTGATAAACGATCGACATGAATTTTCTGTATTCGCTTCGTTACTTAATGATAGTAATATCGATTTGAAAAATAACCGATTGTACACCATTTTCCTACCTTCTAATGATGCACTATCAAATAATCAAGTTCGAGCACTGAAAATGAATAAAACACTGGCGAATGACTTCGTGCGTAGACATATTTTTGAGGGTAAGTACTGCAAGTTTAAATTATATTCTCCAACGATTTTTTACCACCTAAATTTATTTGATTCTTTTCAAGAATAAGTGATGGAAAGCTTCTGGTAGTTATGTTCACTTAATTTGCAGGATTGTTATGTTCGAAGAATCTCCAGGTAAGAATGAGTGACAGAGGGTTTCCTGTAGTTCTGAAAAATTTTAGAGGTGAATATTACGATAGTCGTAGACTAGGCGAGAAGACAACAATTGGTGATATTGATTTACAGGTTAGTAAATAAAAATCTTATATAACCATGCTGTGTACATATCCTGGATTATTAGTTTAAATTTATTCCCTATACTTACAACAAGTCCTTACAAGTTCTTTCACGATACTGTAGTATTGCACACTTTAGTAACATCCCTTTTAAATCCTTAATTTAAAAAAAATTAAATTTTCAAAATCCAAAATATATTTCAAACTAGTACCCTTTAAATCCTTAATTGAAAACTAAATTTTAAAATATAGGATATCGATATACTTGCTGTAAATGGTATTCTACACACATTGGAGAGTCCATTGAAAAATCAAGTACCACGCAAATATCAAACACTATGCCCAGTTTTTGATTTCATTTAATTCTTTTCTTTTTATATTCCTATTTTGACAAAGAATAAAATTATTCAAAGCAGTACGATCTCGTGACAGCTTTGCATATGAAGATAGAGTGTGATATAGCATACAATATTGAAATACCAAATGATGAAGGAAAGAAGTGTAGATTTAGAAAATTGTCGGTTTTGGAATTCGGCAAAATTATGACGTATACCTAATTAATGACTAATTTGCAAAGATGTAACGGAAGTGGATGAAGCATGTCCCAAACAAATATAAGAAACGTTTACGCTTCTTCTCCGAATAAATGCTGCAAAGCAAGACCTTCTGACAACTCATGTTGTGCACGTGTATCACGATTATTCAAATTGTTAAAAATTGAAATATAAAACAGAGATATAAAATAGTCAGTACAATCTGAGGACATATAAAATAATCGATATATATAAATCAGCAGAAACATCAGTAGAGATGTAAAAGTAGAGATAAAAATAATCAGTAGAGATATAAAATAATCAGTAAATCCAGATGTTCCGGGATGACATAGTAGAGACATCAGTAGAGATGTAAAAGTAGATAAAAGAATGCCTGCGAGAATTACAACGGCTGAACAGGTAGGATCACAACTTTTCATACTAAGCATGTTAAATGTTTGCCATTTTCAATGGTTTGAATGGCGGGAAGGATGGAAATTAAATTTTCTGACAGAGAGGGCGCTGGTGATAACCTTGGATGTTTTGTATGTATTTTAACTTTGATAAATTAAATTTTGACTGAACACTACTAATGAATTATTTTAGTTGAATTTCTCTATAAAGTTAACGAAGAGCTGATCAGAAAAAAAATAAATATCAGCGAGAGAGACACTGTGCGACGATAACATAAGCCGTGAAATGGGACGAGTGCTACTGAAAACTAATTGTCAAAGGTATGTAAATTTATTAAAAGTGAGAGAAATTTGAAAGTTTGGATTAGAGTTGAAATAAACTCAGACAAAATGTATAAATGAATCTAGCTTGTAAGAGCAGTCAATCCTGTGGACTCAGTGATTTTCCTACTATCGTTTAGTAATTTCTTGTAAAATTTTTTACACTTTCTGAGAAATTATTTTTCTAGAATTTGAATAATTCTAAAAGCATAATTAAAAGCTAAAAAATCAGTTTGTCTGGAGGATATTAAGGATATAAAGTTTCTATTTTCCATATTGAAGATATATCTATTTTTGCAGATAATACTGACGATAAAAAAATGTCCAAATATATTCTTAGTAGCTAGAGTTTAATCATTAAGTACATATTAGTTAAGGAATGGTGGGGAAAATTATCGGCTTTATATCATTTCTCAGTCAATTTCAGCACACATCGGACTTCAACATTGCGTAAAACAAACGACGGCGGAGTATCGAAGCAGCTTACGGCTGCTGAGAAACGAAAAAGGATGATTGAAGCTGGTGCAAAATATGCGTAAGTTTATTATCAGCTATTATTTTTATACTTAACAAGTAATCATAAATATATATAGTAAGCTCAAACCGCTCGCCTACGTCTCTGACTATCAAAGTCATCAGTGGCGCATATGCAATATAATAATGATCACATTTTAATATATTAAGAAAAAAGATTTTAATACAAAAAATTAAGTTTCGCAAGTTCAGAGGATTCGAAATATTCTGGCAACATATAAACTTGAGTATTTCGAATGGTTTAAAATTCCATTACAGAGCAGACGGTGGTAAAATGTCTTCATAAGACATGGCAATTTAGCAATTTTTCAGAGCACAAAATCGGAAAGTCAAGGCAGACTGTTCGACAGGAGCTCACTTCATGAAATTTAGCATCAAGGTCAGCATTATATATTTTTAGTTAGACAAACTATAATATTGGACGTTAAATATTTTTTTATCGTGTTTAATTTTTCATTTCGAGCATTTTGAAAAACATATTCCATATTTTGAGTTTTGCAGACGCGTCCACAGCCAGTTATTAAAACTGAATCATGCAAAAAAACCATAACGTCTTTGAAGCTACAGCACATTTCGCCAAGAAAAAATAAGCAAATGGTTGATCCATCTAGTAGCCGTCAATCGATTTCCGAAAACATTCTTAATGTAAGCATTTTAATTTAAGTTTTCAAATGTTTATTTCGATCGAGGCGTAAAATTTTCAAAAATTTAACTTTCGAGAGAACTTTAAATTAGGTTTGGCATTTCTTACTTATCGAGTCAGTACTTCTCTGTCTTTTATCATCATGGTTCGTGGGTCATTGAGAATAGATTTCAGCGCTCAGATATAAAAAGCAAACCAAAAACTTATTTTATAAAAGCACCTCTGAAACCAATCAATGAAATATTTGAACGCGATGATGCCGCATTGACAAGCATTTTAAATAGATGTCCGCAAAATTCAGTTTCTGGAAGAGCTTCCATATTTGTGAGTTATTTTTAGCTGTCAACGTTTTCTTCATCTTATTTAAATCATTTCAATTCTACTTGTTCTTTTCTAAGACAAAAAAA